GTTGTTTCTTTCATGATGTATACCTTGTCATATACAAATAAAATAAAGAAATGATGTTTACCTACTTAAAAAAAAAAAAAAATAAACCCTATTAATTTTTTTTTATAATAAATAATAAATTTTAAAAATTGACCTTTATTTAATAAAAATTTTAAATAAAATGATATAATATGTTTTTTAAAAAACAAAATTTTGATTAGAAAAAAAAATTTAATTTATATAAACAATTTTTATATATAAAAAATTTTTTTTTGATTATGTCGATCAACTTCAACGTATGTATATAATTTTTGATTGGTTCATCTTATCATCAAACCGACGAACTCTCTCTTTTGGCTACCACAGGTATTGTATGTCTTTCATATTTTTCGTTTTCAGCAGTACTCTAATGATGAATACTCAAAAAATGCATGGCTTTATTAAAATCAAATGCGTAAATTGCAAATGATTTCGTGAATAAATCATTAAAATTGTCTGAAAGGAGAAAACTTTTACTGCGAATTTATTTTATTTATTTATTTCAATCATGTTAATTTTCGTTTTATTTATATTAATATATAGGAAAGAACCTCGTTACGAAAGTAATCAAGGTCTCCTCATTTTATTTTATTTTGCCTCATTTTATTAATATATATATATATTAACAGGTTGTGGCTTGACATGAATGAACCAGCAAGCTGGTGTAACGGTGAATGTAAAAGACGTGATATGGAATTTCTGGATGAAACCGAGGATTTCGCTAAAAAAATTCATAGTCACGATTATAGATTCGAATCACAGGAGATTAATTCTACGTCATTATGTGAATCCTGTGATCTTAATAATCCACCTTACAAAATTAACAACGGTGGTAAAAGATTGTCACTGGACACATTGACGTTATCAATGGACGCAGTTCATTCAAAAGGGATGGTGGATTACGATGTCCACAATTTATTTGGTCATATGGAAACAATGATAACTTATAAAATTATGGGAGAGAAAATTAATAAAGGTAAAAGACCATTTCTTATCACGAGATCAACTTTTTCGGGGACAGGAAGATACGCCGGACATTGGACAGGTATGCTTGAAATTCAAACATTTTTTGTAGTTTGCTTTTGGTGCAATCCCCATTCTCATTACTTTATCATATTATCATAGGCGATAATTGGGCAGATGTAAGTGTGATTAATTTAAAATAGCTTATACGTGATTGTATCAATCTCAATCTTATATTGCATAAATTTAGTGGTCAAATTTATATTTATCCATACCAGGAATACTAAATTTCCAAGTAAGAGTAACATCGTTAGGCTTTAAATAAAAATACTTCACTTCGCTCACCATGCCTTGTGTCTATTTTAAATAGCTATTCGGAATTCCTTTGGTTGGTGCAGATATCTGTGGATTTAATGGTCAATCTAGCGAAGAACTATGCCTACGTTGGATGCAGCTTGGGTCATTTTATCCATTCATGCGGTAATTGGTTAAGCATTTATTCATAAATTCGTAAATTCATTAATTTTATACTGTAATAATCTAAACCTTTTACTTCTTTAAAAGCAATCACAATGTGAAGGATGAAAGATCACAAGAGCCTTACAACTGGCCTTCAGTCGCCGAAACTTCACGTAAATACATTGGTATTAGGTATTCTCTATTACCATATTACTACACTCTTTTCTATGAAGCGAGTGTAAATGGAACCACAATACTTCGCCCTCTCTTTATCGAATTTCCACATTTGAAGCCTGCATTAGAATCCGATAGACAATTTATGCTCGGTGGTGGCATCCTGATTTCTCCAATGTTATTACCACAACATAGTGTGATTCTCTCAGCATACATACCACCCGGCATATGGTATGATTTTTATACACATTTCGCGAGTTTTAAGGTGAAAGATCCGAAGGGAGTTTATCGAGATCTGAATGCCCCCTTAAACGAAATGCCAATACACATCAGAGGAGGATATGCTATTCCGATGTCACATCCTGGGATGACAACTACCGAGAGTCGAAATTCAAATCTTTCTCTTCTTGTGGCTTTAAATGAAGAAGGAAACGCTAAAGGAAGTTTCTACTTGGATGACGGGGAGAGCTTGAATGTTAAGAATAACTACACTTACACAATATTTAAAACACATGATCGGAATCAATTAGTCGCGAATGTTATATGGGGTGGTTATGATAATGGTATTATACTGGATAAGATAGTGATATTGGGTATTAACTTGCAAAATAGTATGAAACCTGCGGAAAAAGTCGAAAAAGTTATGTTTAATGGCCTTGAAATTAATCCTGAATCAAATAGTACAGATGAAAATATTACTTGGAAATTAGATAAACAAATTGGAAAAATAACATTCGAAGGGTTGGAAATTAAGTTAAACGTTGGATGGAATTTGACTTGGGTAATTTACTAGAAAGTGTGTCCGTAGGATAAAAAAAAAATTGCTTTCTCGGTTATTTTTTTTTTTAGTAAGGTAACTAGAGAGTATTGGTGGTTAGGGAATGTGTATTCTATATTTGGAAACCCCATTTAAGATCCTTATCCCATTTCTTACATGTATACGAAAATTAAATTTTTTTAGCAAGTGTTATAGCAAAAAATTGCAGAATCATAATTACTATTTATTAAAGTTTTATGGCTTCATTGATTTATTAATAAAAATCGGTTGTAAATTTTATTATTTAATATTGTCACCGTGATTCGACAAAACGTGAACAATATATCGCGGATATGTTTATTTTCCGGCTTAATAGATCACATATACATATCTATATCCCATTTCCCAGTCCCAACCCGCTTGATTTCTGAATTTGAGCGTCACCTAGAGGTAGTGCGATACTAGGGACACTCGTGGGAAGGAGTATGGCAAGCCAGGGACTCACCCCCCCTGATTCTAAAAATTAGTTTAATATCGACGTTGTACTGTGTACAACATTTCAGATATTAAGCTGAAAAGAACAGATACTACACTTGATCTTAGCCAAAAGGCTTGAGAGGATAA